CATGTCCCACTGCTGGGCAAAGGCCTACTCTATACAAAGGGTATCAGGGCATAGTCCACCACGCGGCCCCACTGCGGATTGGCGGACTTCACATATCTTCGAAATATTTTTTTTATTATTTCGAAAATATGCAGGTTTCCTCACGATGTTTTCCTTCACTTCGGAGCACGTGATAAGTCAGCACTTAAAGTTAAAAACTTCATTGGTGCCGGCACCGGGGATCGAACTCAGCTTGCTCGAGTATATTAAATTAAAGGCGAGCGCCCGGACACTGAGCTATCACGGCTCATGGATTCGGAAAGTATAGGAATATTTACTTTTCGGAGTCAAACGTTCGGTTCGGATAAGCTCTACAAAAAACGACCATCCAATTTTATGAGTGTTTTCATAATTCGTACATATACTAATCCTTAGTGAAAGTAACAATTTTGGCAAAGCAACAAGATAAGTTTAAAACTTTAACGCCCGGTTCGTGAAACACTGATCATCGTACATATTAACTAATCAGCTGTCAAATGGCTTCTCAAATGTCATTTGATATGCCAGAAGGACGGCATATTATATTCATTAAACTTAAGTTTAATGTTTACATACATGTATGAGTTTGTTTTTTTCTTCATTATCAATATGGCCGAGATGCGAATTACGTTAACTGCAGCCGAAGGACCCAAAAAAACCGAAACTGATTTAAAAATACTTTATTATAATATAAAAATTAGAATATAATTATAACTAGAAAGGTATTGAATCTGATCGATGCTAGATCTAGAATGAATATAATTATTAGAACAAAAATTAGGAAATCGAATATTGGCGAACACCGATTGCATCCGTTGACGTCAATGATCACGTTCCTGCTGAGTTGCGCCTCGTGCCACTGCTGTGTAGGCTCTTTACTTATTGGGCTATGTTGTAACTTGCGCGTAAACAAATGGGCGAGGGGTCACAGATAGCGGCGCCTCCGCCCTCCGCCCTGGACCGCGAATAGCGTATCTCTACAAACAATGGAGCTGCAACGACCTCCACGCACCTTCTGTATCGTTACCCAGATCCCCCTTCTCAGCACACAAGCCACTGTCTTCGACACACTGGCCACGTAGAAGTGCCAACTTCCACACTCGTTAGGTGCTCATTTCGCACGAGAGAGATTACAATTCCAAAACAAACACATTAAAGAAATTTCGCACTTTCGCAGAGATCTTCGAGAAGTGAACTACTCATGCACGTACTTACTCTAGCAAAGAAAAAATATTTCGAATACCTATATTATATGTAAAGTCGGCCAATCCACAGGGATGCCCGTGAGACATATTAAATAGGCTTGTTACATTACTTTTTTTACGTGTTCTATTAGCATTGGAAAAAGCGTTGTGTAGCATTTTTTCTGCACAAATTTTATAACTTCACCACCGCAGTTATGTACTGAACGACACACTTACCTTTCGAGTTTTCAGAATTTATTATCTAACTACCCCACGAAACATTGAATTCAGTTCATCATAATTTCAGCCTGTTTTAATCCACTGAATGAATAGGTCTCCTCCTGAGCCGCTTGCATCCGTCGACATCCTGCATCTCATTTTACTTATACAAAAATTTTTACTTAATATCACAATTATGATTTAATTATAATAATATAAATAATTCATAAAAACATTGCCCTTATTGTATTGGCATTATCGTGTTCTAAGGACGTTTTACAAACATAAATTTCACGCGGACAAACACCCAGATCCGAAACATTTATCCGTGGGTCACACAAATAGAAGACCCGTGTGGGAATCGAACCCACGACCCCGGCGCTGAAGCCAATATCTTGGCAACAGAGCCACGGAGTCATCAATTTTGCTTGACGATATTAACACTAACAGGAGGAGAGGGAACTTGGTGCAAAATGAAAGGCAAGATTGGTTTTCCACTTCATACTCACTGTATGTCTTTATTGTATTTTATCTTTTTTTTGTGATTTTTTTATAAATTTATTTTATTTTAAAACTTCTCTTTAAATCAAACTTTATATTAATATTAAATATATATATATATCTCGAGTGTATTTACATGGTATGTACAGGCGTCGTATGTACACTTAAATTTACCGTCACTATGTACAACAACGTATGTATATATATATATAATATATAACTAGAGTGCGGCGCGAACGGACATACAAGTTGCGGGTGCGAGCGGTGGCGTCACATCGCACCTCAAGTTAAGTCCTAACGCACTGCCCCCAAGCTTGATAACATTGCCATACTTTATTACTATTATACTATAACGATTAACTAACGATATTAAAGCGTAAAAACTACATGTTAAACATTGGCATTGCGTTGTAAAGCGCCTTCCGACCATTCCCCCGCCGTTGGGACGCCACCGCCCGCACTGCTTAGACTTTAGACCTTAGGGCTAATCTCGTACACTAACTTTATTTATTGGCTTTTATTGCGTTATTTAGCAGAGGTCAGTGGTGTTAAGGTGGACGACGGCGGCTCTGGCCTGTTTACTGTGGGAAAGACTTTTAATTAGTCCTTTGTCATGTTACGCGGTTTGAAAGTGTGTTTCAATTAATTCAAAGCGTTCGCTCCTCGTACATTCAATTTTGAAATCGGTTACAATAAATAAAGTTCTAATGACGATTGACTTGGTTAGAAGCTAAGCCATCGACCGCCGCGTCATTCTCTCCCGTTCCAGTTTAAAATTACCGCAACTAACAGACCGCATCGTAGTCTAAGAGTATGTATTACAAAAATAAAATTCGTTAGAACACGACTTATCTCTATAAAACACGTAAAACCGCAACGACTCCGGAAAGGAATATATTAACAACGACCAGAAACGGACGCCTGTCTCTTTCCAACACACAATACGACGCATTCTGACGTCGTGCGTGTCGGAACGAGACAGCGCGAGCTCTACAACGCTCTCGCTCTAGTCACGGGTTCACACGAAGCACTCCGTCGGTGCTCTTTAAACACAGCACCGGCACGCGTCGCGACACACGCACACACACGCAGAAAGGCAAGCACACGCAAACCCTAAGGAAGCCACGGAGGCAGTGATGGGCCCTCGCCGATCGGTGCGCACCCCGTAGGCCCAGGGCCTAGAGAGTCAGCAACCAGTCGGATATCAAAACCGTCTGACAACACCGACGCAAAAACATTTGGATCCAATGCACGAATACACGTCAGATTTATATTTCATCGATTGATCAAAATGTGCCGCAGAATTTCCTACGAATATACAAATAAAAAACTCAAATATATTAACCAAAACCGGTTAGAGAGAAACCAACGCAGTCCACGACGCACTTATTAAGTCCTGTAAGACTTTTGTCGTAATCTCGTGTAACCAGTGATTTATAAGAGCAAAAAAATCACTAAATTGCTGCTTGCCCCATGTTAATAAAACCTGTGTCCTCAGAGTAAGCTTCTCCGAGACATGACACTATATCATGTTCAAAAAAAATTACTTTATTTTAAACAAAAACTACGTCATCATTGCTGTTATACAATAGGAAACGTAAAATAAAAATAATAGTTTGCATCCGTAATAAATAGTAATAGAAAACTCATGGAATATCATACATATACGGGGGTAACGTTCATACATACTATCGACTTAGGAATAAATTAACAAAGGAATACCGACGACTTCCCCTAGCAGTACGGACATACCCGTCGTTTATAGTCTCCATCATGAAATCAATACATTTTTATTTAAAAAGAATACATAGTTGTCTTGCTGTGTCAATTTTTTTTAAATATATAAAATACGAGTCGAAACTGCGAAATAATTCCAGTACAGGCGACAGATTTCGGCTGTCTTCATCGCCTGATGGTCAAGAACAAACGAACTACTTCAGAACTAAGACATTGAACCAACTTATACAAAACCGCTCTTCTAATTTAACATGAGAGCTACCAAGCGCAGTTTTCACACGTCCCCGATAACAAAATGAACATAACAGCGAAAGCTAGCGAAACGATATAATTAAACAATATTTCAATCTCGTTTCACACCACCTCAATTTAAGCAGACAATATTTCGTTACGTTCTTTGTACAGTCATGTGAGTGGTTAACATCTGATTATACTTCCCACTTTTGAGCGTGGTGGTACATCAATACGGCCCTTTATGAACAGCAATATAAACTAATGAAACAGATAGTCAAAGAATTTTTGCGGATGTTTATGACATCTTAGTCATTTGATTTTAATAACATGTATATTAAAGGTGTATAGCTGACGAGTGAGCGATAGAAAAGATACATATATCTCTCCCGAGCTAGTATATCTGTAGTTCACTTAATTTCAATTGTATGATATGGTTTATTTTCCTTTATTCCATACGTCACTGAACAAATGAACAATTATTGACAATGGATACACTTTTCAACTCAGTAGCTCGGATAGAAAAGTAATGAACTTTAATATAATTTATTTTAAATAAGATTTACATTTAATGTTAGCATGAGAATAAAACGCATTTCATTGCTTTACGGAGTATAGATTGAAATGGATATAATTTCACTTTTTTTAGCTGATATATATAACCTCAATGGAAAGAGACACATCTAATCATTCTATTAATATATTTTGCTCAAATCTAATATATGTAATAAAATAATTAGTCCATAGTTGGGGCCTTATCTCAAATGGACAAAAGTTTTTCAACGCAAAAACACCAAAAAATTCGCTTTACGATCGTACAGAAAGCTTCATCATTACACAAGTTAAGTAAACGTTCGGTTATGCAATATTATAAAGACACGGTACGATATCGATTTCCGCTAGCAGTCTATTGATTCTAGGAACTATTATATGACTTTACTTTGTAACATGGTAGACGATCTATTTGTAACATGGTACATATGAGTGAGCCGCGCCGGGCCGGGCAATGTCTGTCGTTGGTCCGAACAACCGGGTGCGGGTGCGGGTGCGGGTGCGGGTGCGGGTGTGCGGGTGTGGGGGGGGCGCGTGGGGCGCGGCGGGCGCGTATCATCGCTGCGGCGGCTGCGCGAACTGGCGCCGCTTCTTGTGGCGCGGCTCGGGGCGGCGCGGCGGCGGCGAGCCGGGGAAGCGCCGCTGCTTCGCCGCGAACGAGCGCGCGCGCCCCTTGCCGTCGCCCCCCGCGCCGCCCCCTACGCCCCCTCCGCCGCCGACGCCCCCGCCGCCGCCGACGCCCCCGCCGCCGCCGAACCGCTGCTGCATCACGCCTGCAACGGATAACGTTCTCTAATTCGCTGCGGTGGCAACAGTCTAAGTAGTTGCTTGAATGTAGTAATAATAAAAAAAAATATACAAGCACTACACTCACTAATTGATTATAAAAATTCTACTACAGCCGGTTTAAAAGCGAGTGGCGGAGGCGGCTGTTGATCGCACCTGAGGGTATGTTGTTGAAGTCCGAGTTGCTGGTGATGTGGTGGATGATGAGGCTCTGGTGCGCGGAGACGCGGCGCGGCGTGGGCGAGGAGCACTGCAGCGCCGACAGCGGCGGCGGCGAGCTGCGCGCCGCACCGGCCGCGCCGTCCGACCACTCCTGCCGACGGAGCGGATACGTTCATTACAATTACTACATTACTTCTTTAGTATACAAAAGCAAAATGACTAAACATTTTATCCTCTATACCAGTGCTTTTTCTGTTTGTGTAAAAGATGTTAAATGCGAGTGATAACGGTTTAGTTAAATAACTTGGATTTGTAAGTAATTAGTCATGTCGCTTTTTAGCTGTCAGTGTACGCGTGCATGTCATAACTTTTTCTAAAGAAGTAAAGTTAAAATAACAGCGTATAAATGTCCCACTGCTGGTCAAAGGCCTCCTCTGTGAAGAGGGTATCGGGGCATAGTCCAACACGCGGCCCCTAAAGAAGTATAACTTCAATAATATCCAGAGACGTTTAAACATATCCCATTGTTTCTTCTCACCGGGTCGCTGTCGCTCGGCTCGTGGTCCAGTTCGGGCTCGGGCTCGAGGTCGGGCTCGGGCTCGCGGTCCGGCTCGCGCTCAGGCTCGAGGGGCTCGTGGGGCTCGTGGGGCTCGTGGGGTTCGTGGGGCGGCACGTGGGCGTGGGCGTGGAGCAGCGCCAGCTGGTGGTGCGCGCGCGGGAAGAAGTAGGGCTGGAAGGTGTCGCGCACCCAGCGCCGGTACTGCAGCACGTGGTCGGTGACGCGCAGCACGCGGCCCAGCGCGCTGTGCCGCGCCACCAGCGCGCTGCCGCCCACGCCCACGCCCACGCCCACCGCCTGCTGCAGGATGATGTACCCGTAGTCGAACGCCTGCGCCGCACAATCGTCACAACATAAGCATCGGTATCGGTCAATAGCGTACAGTCGCGCTCTGCGTGCGTTGTGTACACAACGGTAATAAAGTCTAGAGCATAGAGACGGCGTACAATCGCGTGTACTCGTTATAATTATGTAGTCATGCACCTCAGTAGCGAACACTCTCTCACATTCAATTGGTATAAAGTTGCGCGCGCTCGCCGGACGTACAGTCGCGTTCACCCTTCGAGTACAGTCGCCCACATATTGAACATGTGATGTCTCACTTTCGTGCTAGGGGCTCCATCAAATACTCAATAAAAGAGGGTAGGGGCCGTCACCTGCTTGACCTGGAGCGCGCCGTAGCTGGAGCGGCCGATGTCGTTGCCCGGCGTGAGGGGGTCCTCGATGCACAGCAGCGACGGCCGGTGCCCGTCGTTCATCTCCTGCGGAAGACCACCGGTCAACGTCCTCATTCTCCAGCCCCTATCTCGTCTAGGTTTTAAGGACGGTATTTTAAATGTGAGCTGTGAGCTGAGCTTCCGCTCTTGCGTACGGCGTCATTAATGACCAGCCTGAAGTGGAAGTGTTATAGTTCTGTCTTTCATACGGCAGGTGAGGTGTCCACGGGCTGCAGTAACAGCATCGCGTGAACCGCGCGCCGACATTGAAGCAACTCCTTCTAGTACCTTCTGTATCTCGTCCTTGGAGACGTACGAGCCGCCGTTCTTGACCCTTATCGCGGTCTTCACGTAGTTGAACTTGCGCCCGTACAGCTCGAAGAACTCGATGAGCAGCACGCCCAGGTTGTGCGGCTGCCGCAGCCGCTCGGGCCGCGGGTGCAGCTGCAGGAAGCTGATGCACATCAGGATCAGCGAGTACGACGAGATGCCGCCGGTGAACACCTCGTTCAGGTCGCGCTGCAGCAGGAACTGCTTCAGCACCATCACCAGCCGCGACAGCACCGGGTACTTCTCCTGCGGACACCGAATGGCAGGGCGCCGTTACGTTATGGGAATGCGGCATAACATAACACTGTCACTGCAAAGGTGGACGCGAACTTGGCCAAAGTAAGACATTTCATTTTTTTTTATAGTGCTAATCTCTGCACTTAAAATTACACATTCAAATTTGTAGAAAAAGTACGAAAAGATTGTTCGCCGCTGTGGCAATCGAACTCACGTCTTCAGCATTCGCGGCCTGACGCTTTAGCCACTAAGCTAAACGGCTGACCATACCGACGAAAATCTTAAAGTCTTTTATCTCCATTGTCTTTTAGCATTTGAATCAATGCTCGGCGCATCCATTGTTATATACTTTCCAGCATACAAACAATTTCGAATATCGTTTTTACAACGATAATTCGAACAAGATATATCGCCATTGCTATTTAGAAATTTAAATATTTTTTATAGTGCTAATCTCTGCACTTAACACTAAAATTATTCGAAATAAGTAAGTGTTATACTTATATATTGAATAAAGATAATATTTGAATTTTAATTTAACTATATAACGCCTAAATAATGAATATGATCGAAAACTTAGCTAACTAGAATCACTGTACGAAATGATCTTGAATTATACGTGGGACCAAATACACCATTAATAAAACTGCCGACGTTCCGATTAAAGGACATTGCGTCAAGGGGAAGTGTGGGTTTCTCATTAGGGTTACGATGTAACAGAACTCGTCATCCGTACCTTGAACTGCTTGATGAGCTCAGCGCTCTTTACACCGCTGCTCATGTTGAACGATATATCCACCTGGAAAATTGTAAAATATCAGCCGTAGACATTTTTTGGGTTGTGTGTCACAAAATTAAATCGCTATGAAACAGAATATTATCCCATAAACTATCACAGCTCGGATGTTGTTAGATTACATAGATAAAAAGTTACAATATCACAAATTGTTTTTTTTATGTGAAAAGTTGCCAAGCGAGCAGACGGTTCACCTGATGTTAAGTGAATACCGCCGCCCATGGACATACTACACCCGAAGGTTCCAGATGCATTGACAACCTTTTAAAAATTGGGCTCCGGCCACCTCACTCATCAGACGAAACGCGAAAGTATTATACTTTCACTTTACGCTGGTCTTCTGTGAGGTCGTGGTACTTACCCGGACGAGCCTGCCCATTCGTACAACAGCCGAGGCTGCTTTGCTGCGTTACAAGTATAAACTATCACTATCAATGTTATTAATAATTGATTGCAAAGGCTTAAATCATATAACGAGTAAGAAATTTTCGTTAATAAGAAAAGCGGCCCGAGAACGGTCCCTAGTGCAACCCTCGTACGCACGCTCACCTTGACATCAGAGTACTTGTCGGTCATCTTGACGATGGGCACGGTGGCCTTCTCCAGCACCTTGATGCTCTCCTTCTCGGCGATGTCTTGCACAACCAGCTCGCGCTCCAGCGTCCACAGCGGCAGCTTCTCCCACTGGCCTGCATCGCAAACGTTCAGATTTGGAAGGTAGAGTATTGACGACAAATTTTATTAACAATACCGTTTACAGACTTCATAAAATATTGCTGAAGAGTCGTTATTATTATTTTGCAGTGTTAAATTAGTCAAAGAAACAAACTATTTTAATTGAAACTATTTTTCCGGATTCAAGGGAAGTTCTAAAGCAATACATTAAATTGCCGACATTTAGATTTTTTTCAAAAGTCTACGAGCCGGACCATTTTTGTCCCTAAAATTTAGATACGTATTATCAGCATTCAAGTTTCCTTAAACTGTGTGTTTTTCTCGTAAATACCATTATGTGACGCAACCTATTGTTTAGACGAAGGCAATTGAATACACTTAAAATTTCCGACCCAAAATTACACTTTCAATCATAATTAATACAATACAATATCCGTGCTATAAAGACAAACGTTATGTACATATATAGTAATCTATTTTAAAAGTAATGTTTTAAAATAGATTACTATATATGCAGGCTACTAGTTTTTTGTGTCAGCTTTCGCGTATCTTTAAATTCTTTATTTTTTATGGTATTTACATCCGCTAGTAACTGAGTAAAGAGCCAATGTTTCGATTCCAATCAATAGGATTTTTTTGAGACTGGTTTACATCTTACTATGAATACACTTCATTAGTATGAAATTAATTTGTAGTGCACCAAAAATAGAGCAAACGGTACTTAGTCGATCCATTGGCCTAACCTGCGGGAACGCTACGGGATAAGGTTAGTGAGAAATGCAAATGACACTGTTATCTGTAACTATTTCTGTAACTATGTGAAAACTAATCCTTTTCACAATTTACGCTGTAAGTTATAACGACCACCATAATTTAAATTCGTTGCAATTCCAGACCCCTCCATTGAGAACGATAATAAAGAATATTTTAAATCATCTAAAATAAAACTAGTACAAATCTGAACGAACAATCCTTCGCCGCGATCATAGATATGGGAAACAAGACATTTTTATCGATTTTATCTACATTTGAACACATTTTTATATCTAGTACGGGCGTTAGCTACTCATTCACGTTTCCCACATAAACCGCGCTCACCGGACCTGTACAAAACGAGTGCGAATGACTCATACAGTAGACGGCAACTTCCTCATTCCTACACATTTATTTCCTCTAGCGCCCTGCCTCCACACACCGTGCGTCCTCGCTGTTTATACAGTGAAATATCTGCGCACTAGACGGGCCGCCGCGGCGGGAGGGCCCGCTCCGATGACAGTGACACACGAACAAATCAAATCTAAAAAGATCCATTGCCCGATCTATGATCACTTATACTTCCGACTTCTTAAATAAACGACCAATGAAACAGTTACCTTCTGTAATATCGACATCATTCGCTTTGAATTGGTTAAGGACCAATAACATTAACTGAACATTTTACGGTATCCTCCCTCGTCCTGCCAATCTCTCGACTCAACTGCGCACCACAAAAGCATCCAAAAATCGCTGTACGATTTGCTCGTACACAATCAGTTTGCCGCCGAAATGTTAGCAACACTCCGTTTCCTAGCATCGCCCCGCACTAGTAGAGTGCAACCTTATCGGGGTAATAGGAAACGATAATGAAGCGTCATTATGGAGCACGCCGGCGCCACGCGTACTGCGCACGTTTTCATGTCGACACATCTTTATTGAAATGTCTAAAGCAATTCCGTGTCTTCGTCTCCACAACATACTATCCCGTTCCCTAATAAATAAACGTAATGGTACTCTATCACACCATGGAAAGAAAGTTAAGAAGAAAGTTAATCAAAGTAGCTCAATATTATTCTAGAAACTTTTCACTAACTTGACGCATCGCTCAACTCGCATGAAAGTTTTGTCTCAGCTTTGAACCCTTTGCAGTCTTCGTCCGCGTGGGCTAAGTGATTACCCATCTTAACTTAATGCATGGACAACTACAGCACCTGACCGACTGCAAATGTGTTGTTTTTAAAAAGTGAATCCCGGTTGTCTCACGAAGAACTGTAGAAACACTCACAAACGTGTTGCCGTAAAATATTCATATCCTCTTAAACCGAACATTCGAATTATATACAGCGCACGAACAGACAAACAGGCGGACAAAGAGGAACATAACTTGTAAAGATATCCTTGAAAATATATCTAAAGTAATATACTGTTACTGCCCCACATCCATACTTTTCATCAGGCAAGACATAAGCATTTAATTTAAAAAAAAAACAACATCGAAGACATACAGAAGTGAGTAAACAGAATATTCTAGAGCTAGAAACGCGTGCCTTCCTATTGCGTCCGTCCTATTGCGTATTCGCTGCAAAAACGCGAAAGCCTCATCGGTGGCCGGTTGAGTCAGAGATCGTTTACCGCAGCCTCCTTTTATACTTATTTCTCTAGCGGATAAAGTGTTTCCGCCGACGCGACGGCGAGGCCGCATTCCGTCGTTTGCTTTGGAGCTACGCTCAAGAATTCTGCGCAGTAAAGTTTAAATCGCATTTACAAGTTTAGATTTAGTTTACGCAGCCAAAGAAATGAATGATAGAATCTGTATCTAATGGTACAATTTCATCTCGTAATGCTATCGCTCATATCAAGAAAGAAGCACCGTTAGTTTTTGGATTCCGTAAATAGTTAAAATCAAAATTACTCTCCTGGGTGTGTACAAAGTTTATGACTGAAGCTCGCACACGAGACTCTATGAGAAAATAATTCTATCATGTCTGTCCGTTTAAAGGTTCGTAAGACGAAAACCTCTCGTGGCCGACACGAACTTGGTTATGATAGTACAATAAATACGCGGTGCACGCGAGTGGAATCGAGCGCAAAGCTAGCCGCTCAATAAACAAAGACCACATTGCAACACGATCCGTATCACGTTCACGGCGTCATTTCAATGACCGCAATTGTAAACATTCTCTAGAGTCGGGGAATCCCCAGCGATGGATTCAATACGCCCGCTTTGTATGCGTGCGACGTTCAAATAAAACTCTTGGTAAAAGTGAATTAAAATAAGTAAATTTGACACTCTAAAAGAGGTACGCTGAACGCTCTCCACTATCAATAGTCGCTATGCAGATTTTTACACGTGTTAGTGAAAGTGAATCGATTTGTTTTGGAATTTTTTAATGGCTTTTAAGCGATTTTTCTATTCAAACCACTTATTGGTATCAACATCAATGGACCGGAACGTAAAACAATCTTTGATACGATAGAGCCCCGCACCAGCTTCTGCTATGGCATGAACGGATCGGTTCCTTCGGAAGGGAAAAATGCATCGCAAAAGATCGGGATCGAGTAGAAATACTCTCGCTCTGCGCCTTGAGAGGTAAACCGGACTTATGGATGACCATGAGCACCCGGATAACCGCCTATTCTGAGTAAGTCGGACACAGAACACAAAGAAAGGTGGCACAGAACACAAAGAAAGGTGGCACAGGCTCCCAGAGGCGCGGCCGCCCATCACACCGAAAGACGGGTAGCGTTCACATACAAGTGAACTGAACCATAGTCCACGGTAGGGCAGAACAGTGAAGACTGTTGCGTGGCCAATGGGCTCATCTGTCTGGGGAAGTACCGTGACCTCACAGAAGACCGACGCGAGTGAAGTGTTACACTTCTGCGTCTCGTCTGGCGAACGAGAGGTAACCGGTGTCCACTTTATTAAAAGATGGCAATGCATCTGCCCCACGGCGGCTAACACTTAACATCAGGTGAACCGCCAGCCCGCTTGCCAACTTCACAAAAAAAGCTAGTTGCACCCAAGACAGCTTGGTTGCGTAACGAGCGCAGGCGCAACCGGCTCGGCTCGGCACGGCTCGGCGATATGTGTCGCGAGGCCGCACGCCCAAAATAGAGCGCAGACTACTCGCGCTAGGCGATCGAGGCTCGATTCACAGCGAGACGGCGGCGGCGATCGGTATTTTACCGCTGTGCTGTATGAGAGACAACGCGGATTCGCCACCTTGGTGTGAATAGAGCCCAATGATTCGCCGCTTTTAAGAGTGCGCCTTTGCGTTTGTATCGTGCCGCAAACGGTTTCACCAGCTATCGATCACCGCCAAAATAAATCCTCCGCAAAGCTAAAAGTGTTTTAGGCTTTTGAAGGGATGGTGAAAAAGTATCAACTCTTGCATTCGCTCGTGGGAGACTAATGCCCGTTTTCACCGTCGACCCCTAACTTTAAGGGACACCTAAAAAATTAAGTCCCAATTTCGTTTCAGTGTCACGCCTAAGTCTTTAAACTAGCACTTAATATTTTAATCGTAGAAGCCGCTCGACTCCGAGACGAGGCGCGACTCCGAGACGCATAAAAATGGCTCCAATAGTTAGAAAGTTATATTCAATTCTAATTTTATAAGTTCACTCTAGGCCAGTGCGTTGCAATTCATCAATATGCGCATGAAAATAACTCGATGCTACAAAAATATCTAGCAAACTATATATATTCGGACGGAATTATCAGATGTCCGGAGAGACTCAGAGGGCAAATGTCACGTTCAATATCAAGTTATGTGCCAAAAACGTAGTGTCTGGCTTGCCCTCTGCGAAGTTAAGAACGTAGGTTCAATCTCGTCGTCGACTTTTCGGTGACATTGTAAAGAATTGCTGTCATTTTGTGTACGTTACCAATTTACGCGCCATATTACAATTTAAATAATTTCAACTGTACTTTTAAATGATTTGTCACGTCATTTTAACAATATTTAAGCAACAAAATCAATTATTCACACCCAGCGACAAGTTGGCACTGTTGCCGGGTTGGCGACCTACCTTACTTCAATCTGCTCACAGCATTACCTTCAGCAAACTTTAACGGGGTGCAAAATCAAGCCACTCTGGTGTAACGGGCAGACAGATTACCTTCTTTTATAATTATCCGATTGCATTCTCACAAGGTACACATTTAACCTGTGGTAGTGCCACGCAACAGCTTCTGATAGTTGCACGAATGGGCAGGCTCGTCCGGGCAGGTATCACGCACAGAAGACCGGCG